GGCATGTGCGCGGACTGTTTGTGTAAGAGGCATTTTGGCTCCGGAGAGCCTTGGTAGGTTCGTTGCAGGCTCGAAGACTTTTAACAGTTTTTTTTCCCCGGCGTAAGCGTTCGCGCAGTGCGCGCGGGGTGGTGGTGGGTGGCCACAGAATTTGGCATGGGGGGGGGCAACAGAGTATAGATTGCATTGTCGTCCCCTTTTGTGAACGCCGAGCAATGGCTTTTATGCGAAAACAAAAGATCTATTTCACATTTTAAAGATTAACCCTTGTTCATGGGAGAATCAGATCCCCCCACACCCCAGATCTTAGAAATTCTGGAATTACATGTATCATCTGGGCCAGCCCCTATCAAAAAGGCACAGTGGGGAACTGAGTTCCCAACCCATATACCTAAACCTTAAAGCTATCCATAAGATTCCTCTTCCTTTCTTACCCCACATATAATCATGGTCGCACTAATGCTGCTAATCATCACTATTTAGTCCGTTTTCCATTGTCATAAAAGAATTTTAGGACACCTCAAGACGCCACCAAAGCAATACTATCTATGCATGTCTGTCTACAGTACTCATAATTGAACTTTGATGAATCTAATGGGACACATCTTGAAAACAGAATCTAGTTGTAGCTTACCAACATAGATGCTTCCCCTGGTTATTTTAACATTTGGGGTGGTGGGCAAAGGAGCATGAGACAGAGAAAGAAGAGTATGGCCAGGTGAACAATAAGGTCAACCTGTGACAGAGGTGCAACTATTGAAAGACATAGTCTCTTTCTTCGTCTTTCATATTGTCACCTCATCCATCCGTCCATCCATCCATCCATCCATCCATCCATCCATCCATCCATCCATCCATCCATCCATCCATCCATCCATCCATCCATCCATCCATCCATCCATCCATCCACCCGCATAGGTGCATTTGTGAGTGTGCATGCCTTAAAAGCAGCTTCTGCGGCTCTCCTCTTCCTTTGTGCTCTCAACACCCCTGTCAGGCTCAGAGTGATTATCCTGAGTGAGCCTGTGAGTTTCATAGCTCAATGAGGACTAGGAATGTGCTTATCTTTTATAAGGCCTTTGAATTGGGATTTGTTGAAAATATGAGCAAAGAAAGGAGGCAGAAAGATTAGAAACATTGGAAGTGTGTGAAGAACGGTTATTCTTGAATACAGTATTTAGTTATGTTTGTAAACATACACTATGAAAATCACAACCCACTATGCTGCTCTTTTCCGCCTTAGGTTGAGCTCCTTATCCCAACCCAGCCCTACTGTTGGGCAGAAAGGACATCAGAGTTGGAACCTGAATGAATTCTGGCAGGCACTTTTATTGGCAAACAAAAAGGGGGCTAGTTTTAGAAGAAGGACACCCAAAAATGACAGGGAGGAGCAGAGCCACCTTTGCCAGCAACAGGATGGCTTTGGGGAGAGACTGCTTCCACAGCCCCACCTTCCTTCATTTCTAAGATTAACTACAGTATTATTCTTCTCCAGGCGGGGATGAAAGGGACTCTGATCCCAATAGTAGTCTAGCAAATGTGCAGCAGTAACAATTCCCACAGTTATATGTGCTTCCATTTTACACCCTCTAGCTGCTTCTGGCACAAATTGTCGCACTGCTGTCTGGCATTCCATGCCCATATGCTCATGTTCTGCCCGATTTGGATAAGAATCCATGTTTTTTTCCCTTCTTGAATGCATTGAAGGCTGGGGAGAAGGAGCCCAGCACTTGACTCGTCTTAACTATTTCGGCAGAGGGGCACAACCCCTCCATTGCAGTTCTGTCTTGCCCAACTCTGCTCCCCTCTCTAGCTGTTACTAAGATTCTGACCCAGATTCCTTTACTCACGTCACTAGTTCTGTCCACAAGAACTTGCTCTCTTCACTTCCCCACCCATCCATCATGGCCTTGTGTACTGTGTACACTGAACCTGCTCACTTAATCTGCTTGTTTCCAACCTATTCTTGTGCTCTCACCCTCGCCCCATCACGTGTACTCTTGCCCTATTTTTTTTAGTCACTTAACTGGCATCTCTGCACCATGCTCTTTCCCTCTAGTGTTACAAACCTGATCAGCTTCTTTGTCTCCCACGTTAATTCTAACCACCCAGACCGACCCTTTCCATCCTTTCCCACATACTGACAGTTGTCTCAGGATGAAATGTGTCACAGTCTATGTGTTCCATTTATTGGGTCTGCATTCTTTTAAAAGTCAATACAGTATCTGAATGCATTAAAGTAAATATTCTATTGGTTATCATTGTCAACAAGCCTGAAACCTCTTTTAAAAGTCAATATCTGAATGCATTAAAATAAATATTCCATTGGTTATCATTGTCAACAAGCCTGAAACTAGTTGGACTACAGCTAATATATGTCTGGTTATCTGAACATATTTTTAACAAGAGGCATATCACAGTTTAAAAACTGAATATTCTTATTGTTTTGTCCTAATTCAGAATGAGTTTTTGTTTTCATTTAATGCAAACAGAAAACCACCAATTTTTCGAAGACATATTTATGTGTTGAGGGTTTTCTGGGAATTTTATTTCATTGGTATGCCAGCTTTCATTCGGGTTCTTCTGAGCTGTATCTTTGTGACCTATAATTAGACAAGGCAGTTCAGGTTACATGAATAACATGCAGAACTGTTGCCATTCTGGAAAAAAATGTCAGTCTGTCTTTTGATGATTATTTTTAAAACTGCTTTTGGGTTAAGGACATTACCTGACGCCAGAATGGTAATTTCCTGGTTTTATCATTCATTTCCTTTGACCACTAGATGTCGCTTAGGCACTTTCCATGGGGCACTATAAGCAGGCACACACAGAAATGACGCTTCCAAGCAGCTTATTCCATTTGATAGTAATTGCTTCACTGCAGGCAGTTTGTGAAACTAGAAGGAATGTGTCCCGCCTGAGCTATTACCAGCCTGAGTTTCATTGGAAGGGTTAATTTCAGTCAGGACCCATTAGTGGTTAGTGAAATAACTAGATAGAGAGTGTAGAAAATGCTGTAGTTAGATGGGCATTACAGATGTGTGCATGTGTAAAGGATTGCTTTGACATCAGAAAGGAAATGATAGATGATAAAAGAAAGAGCTTTCCTATTATAAAGTCAAGTGTATCCTGGAATTGCATGCTGCTGCTGCTGCTAAAACATTTGTTCAGTATCGGCAGTGGCTAGTCACTGTTCAGCACCCTGCAGGTGATTTTCTTTAATAGGGGCAACCATTCCTGTATGACCTGACACCTTTTGCTCTTCATTGGATTGCTATGAGGAGTTCTGGTATGGTTCATAGTGATGAAAGCCACTGTGAAAAGTTGTCTTCACCTTCAGAGGTGGCTCTAAGAGAAAAGACTTGTCTTGAAATTCTACAGCTTAAAGACCCAATCATTAACACATTTATTTTGCTTCTAAAATTGTATAATATAATTTTTGGTAGATCTGTTCATCATAATCTAGCAACAGCATGCAAATAATTGCCCCATGCATGATTGAGCATGTCTAAAGAAATCCATATTTCATTCCAGATCCCTGAAAATGTTTTTGAGATGATGGGGTTGGAGTCAAAGCAGGCAGACAGGTCATGATGAGTTTTGCATTTATTTTAAAATATTTTACCCTGCCTTTCTCCTTAAAAAAGGACCCAAGCACCGTACATCATTAAAATCACAACATTAAAAGCTAAAAATAGTAAATTATTCACATATTTTTAAAAAAGTATTAAAATGTTAGGTAGAAGCATTACTAAAACAGATTTAAGAGCAACAAAAATACAAATGATCTTAGACAGCTGGTCACCTTGTGTACGCATGTACGTTTTCACATGTATCTTCTTTCATTAGCTTATTTAACCTTCATTCAGGAAGATGGAATGTTTTCATATCCCAAGAATCTTATTAATTATTAGATCTTAAGTCAAATCTCTGGTCATGTCCATTCTCTTAGACACACCCCTCTGAAGGTGAAAATAGCTTTTCACAGCTGATTTTCGACTACCATGCATTACAGTAGAACTACTACTAATATGAATCCAATGAACAACAAAAGATGGTGGGCCACACGGGCCACACAAAACTGGATCTATAAAGCAGGCAGTTTATATTATCATGGCTGCAAACAATGGCCAAAATCTGATTTTTATTCCTAACTAGAGTAAAAGCAGTGAATCTGTGGGAACATGCTGAGTCAACAGTTATGTAAATCTCATTGATTCAATTAGTGTTGTAGATTGATATAGGATTTAGACCAAACTTCTTGAGCTTCAGCCACTGCCACATACAGTACAAGATTTTTTTTTTTTTTGCAGACAAAAAGTAGTCAAGGCAAAAGAAGTGGAAGTACTTTTTGAAGAATAAAACATAATTTGTTTGTTTGTTCAGTCGTTTAGTCATGTCCGACTCTTTGTTACCCCATGGACCAGAGCACGCCAGGCCCTCCTATCTTCCACCGCCTCCCGGAGTTGGGTCAAATTCATGTTGGTTGCTTCAATGACACTGTCCAACCATCTCATCCTTGGTCGTCCCCTTCTCCTCTTGCCTTCACAGTTTCCCAACATCAAAGTCTTTTCCAAGGAGTCTTCTCTTCTCATGAGATGGCCAAAGTACTGGAGCCTCAGCTTCAGGATCTGTCCTTCCAGTGAGCACTCGGGGTTGATTTCCTTTAGAATTGATAGGTTTGTTCTCTTTGCAGTCCAGGGAACTCTCAAGAGTCTCCTCCAGCACCACAATTCAAAGGCATCAATTCTTCGGCGGTCAGCTTTCTTTATGGTCCAGCTCTCACTTCCATACAACACTACAGGAAAAACCATAGCTTTGACTATTCGGACTTTTGTTGGCAAGGTGATGTCTCTGCTTTTTAAGATGCTGTCAAGGTTTGTCATTGCTTTCCTCCCAAGAAGCAGGCGTCTTTTAATTTCGGGGCTGCTGTCTCCATCTGCAGTGATCATGGAGCCCAAGAAAGTAAA